ACCCCTCGTGGAGAACCCTGATTACTATTATATTATTGGTACTAGTCTAACCCAAAGTCACATCTGAAACAAAATGCATTTTCCAGACTCGTGATAAATAAATCTAAAACAAAATTCCTCTCAAATCATACAACTGTATAAACTGAATAACTTAGTTTGTACTACTGTTTCATTTAGACAAGTTGCACAAACTACAAGAGACATTGATAAAACAGGAGAGGGTAAGCACAAGGACTAAATTCTTAGTCAAAGAACGTATCTGTTTTACCACCAATACCCACCACCCCCTAACCCAGTGAAAGTTTTGCCATTTCCCCTGAAAATCAAAGCAGGTGACAATATCATCTCTTATTGAGAATGTACACAACAGACATCTACTGAGTAAAATTACTTTTTCAGAAATATGTAGCTGTCAACAATTTTGAACAATATTTTCCCCCTGATTTTCATTGGTCCCTGTAGGATGTTTGTTCTGACTTTCTCCTATGTAGACCTCCCCAACATGGTTTTTAATGTCAAACCCTTGAAAAAAACTGTTGCAATTCTCACCTGTGTAGTTTTACCAGACCCGGTTTCACCAACAAGCACTGTTGTCTGACTTCTTTTTAAAGTTTCCAAAAATTTTGTTTTATATTCCCAAACTGGTAGTGTTTGTCTTTTCTTCAACAGCTCATTATACCTTGGTGTGTATGGGAATCCAGTATGTGGATTCAAAGCCATCGTCTGTTTTGGTAACTGTATACTCTGTAAATTTTTGCTTCTGTCTCGGTGGCGATCATTGAATTTGTCACGATCACGGTCTCTGTCTTTATCTCTGTCATAATCATCATACCTGTTCAAGTCAAAATATAAGATTATTATATTCCTGACAGGGCTAGTACATTGCTTCTTTGAAAGTTACAATTTGCATATTAATATCTAATTTGAATATTCCATTTGTTAAAATATCCTTAATTGATAAATCAATAACCTCTAATGTATTCTTGAGAGCAGAAGAATAGCATTTTAAGACCAAGCATGGTAAAAGTAACGCTAGTCCTAAGAGACCACCGAGGGATCTTTAGTCACAATATCAAGTTTGTCTGGGCAGCTGATTTGTTGCAGCAAAATTCAAAAGATTTGATGATTCCAATTAGTGTTACTGTGTTCCTTGTGAATATGAAGGATGTTTTAAATTTGCCATGTGTATTTGTATTGTATGCAAATAATTCATAAATGAGTGCTACGGCAAGTATTTTTTCCAGAAGAATCACATGATTTTGCAACAAACGCGACAATTGAGTCATGGTATAGGTCTTCTGTGGTGGGCTTCATGCAACATTTTGACATTTAATAACAAAAAACAATTCTTTTTTCAGATCGCCATTAAATTCTCAGACAAGCATTGATTTTTTTCAGATCAATGATTCTCCAGGAATTATGGTAACATTTTTGTTTAAACCAAGACTGGTGAAATTTAGATTAATAACAGACAGACTTATCTAGAATACTGACTTTTAGATTGAGCTTTCTCTGAGAATTGTCAATTTTTTACATTAGACACCTGTAAAATTATTGATTTTTTGGAATGCATTTTGTGTTGAGCATTGTGTCTTTATTTTAAACACTAAATTCTCGGTTTGCAAATGTCATGGGAAATATCTGTCTATTGCACATGTAGGTAGTTGCACAAGGCGTTTTGTTTTCTTTGTTTTATTTCGTTTAAGACACTGTCAGCCGCCCACCCCCTCTCCCCATTTTCAAATGGTTTAACTTTACCCTAGCTAAAAAAAGGTCTCTTGATTACAACGTCGCTTTTACGCTAACAAACTTTGGATAGTCAATTGCAAATATGAGATATCAGCCTTCCAATTAATACATTTTTTGTAAAAGTATATTATTAACTAATGCAATTTTTTTACTTCATTACATCTTGTAAAGCTTACTCTTCTGAAAGAAAGACTCTTTACGATGAATTTAACAAAATATTTACTAATTTACATGAGATGGACAAAACATAAAAATTCAAGACAATCATCAACACATCAGATAAACATTTACTGAAAACACTAATTCTAATTGATAATGCAAACTTGAAAAGAAGCATTTAGTAACTTTCTTTGTTTCTTTGATACTATAATTAATCTGTGTTCATGTTTATTAATTTAACTTTATTACTCAGAGCCCAAAAAAAGATTGTAATTTCTTTACGGTGATAATAAAGTATTATTGTATTGTATTGTATACTAGTTTTTAATACCGGTGTTTCCAGACAGCCGACAATAGCACTCGACGGTGTCGGCGGCATGGTCATTTTTGATCACAGAGGCACAACATCTCAGCTGCAGTCTTTCAGGTTCATTTTTCATACTAGTTACCTCCACGATCTGTAAACAAGTAAAATGTGACTTAATTACCTGTCGCGGTCACTTGAGCGTTTTTTTGAACCAGAATCACCAACATCAAGACGGTGTCTTTTCGACATTGTGTCAGTGTTGATAATGAATAAATGGCGAGACTGCGAAAATTTCTTACCCTGAACCCGACCTGCTACCAGATATCATTTCCGGCGAATTGTTTAAATACAATATTCTTATAAAAAGGTATTTTTTATATGTCTATCATTTAAATCAATTTAATGTGATTAAATAATGCTAACTGATCACTTATACCTCCATATATTATCGATAATCTTGATTTAAATAACCGTTGTTTAAAATTGAATCACGGGAATGAGGCAGTCCGTAAACAACCAAGGTGTGTGGTAAAAACAGTGCCCGGATGAAGGAATCCAAGTTAGCTTCTGGCTCAAATTTGAACTATCAATTCTGTATTTGTTTTCTCGTTGAATGTTATGTTCTTTTGCAAATTTCCACAATGATGTAGAGCATTTTTTGGACGTTGCTCTATTTAAAAATTAAAGAAAAATACTAGAATATTTATTAGAAGGATGTAATGTACTCAATAAAACATTCATACGAACTTATAAATACTAATACGGAAATGAGTGTGAAGCCCAAACTTTAGCACCATTGAAAATGGCGGAAGTAGAAGCAGACTCGTTGAATTTTCATGAAATGGGTCTTGATGACCGCCTGTTAAAGGTATGGGTTAGATAAGACTGTATTATTTATAGAACAGCGTATTTATTTATTATGTTTTGTGTGTGTTGCGATTTAATAGATAAAAAAACAATGTGGCTATCGTAAACTTCTAAACACGTGTTCTTCACATTGGTTACGTAACACACACGACACGTGAGAATGATTTATAAAAAAAAAGACTTGCGTTCGTGAACTCTTATACTCTCACGTTACAATGGCCTCTACTGAATTTGAAAAATACTTACCCCAGGTGCCTCCGTCTACCAGAGGGAGCTGGTGTAACAAATACTACACAATCAACAACATTTCTCTACGGTCCATCACATTTTTTTATTTATTTATTTAATTAATTTTATTTTTTATTTTCTATTGATGCTGACTCGCGTCAACTATTTTGAACCGTCACTGTCGTAACTGCACTTGTGCTTGTGGTGGTCATGCTCTTCACAACACCCAATGTTCACATCACTGAAACACAGTCGACATTGATAGCAATAATTATACATAACATTTACATGTGAATTTTCATGCGAGCTGGTCAAGACAACAAAAATATTAGACTTGATCTTACATGTTCATAGCTTTTTGCGATAATGAACTATGAGTTACTACTTATGTGTACAGCTAATGTTTATTTCTGGTTACAACTTACTGCCATATCTTGTTTGATTTGAATAATAATATTGCATCCTTAAAAATACAATCTTGATTGAAAAATAATACTAAATTTATTGCATCTTTAAAAATACTTTCCATTGGTTGACAGCAGTTAGTTATAAAATCAGAATGTCATATTCACCCTGCAGCTGGGCAAATTCCATATCTATTTCTACTATTCACCCAGTCATTAAATCGACCAATAGAATCATAAAATTCAAGTAGCAATACATTCAACTAATAAGCATAATAAGTGTGGGTCGATATACATTCACATGATCTTTGATGCCATTTTGTTAGATGATTTTTTTCCTTTTCTTTTTCGGGGGAGGGGTATTATAGGGCTAGGATATTTTCACTGATATTTAATTTCACTATTTTGATGTTTTGAGCATATTCACTGCATTTTAATTTCACGAATTTGTCAAGGAAACAATGAGTTCCATTGTTATTTCACATGTTCACATTGATTTAATTTAGTGGATTTTACTTATAGCAAAATTAAAATCCTGTGAATATTTAATGCATTTACAATATATAATGCTTTTTGGCTTTTTTTTGACATGTTTTGAATATTATTTATCAGGGGTGAATACTGGAATAAGGTCCCTTATTTCACTCAGCTGCAGGTGAATAGTCACTCCTAATAAAATACAATACAAAACATAATGAAAAAACTATGTATAAATTGCAGAGAACAGAACAATAGTGGAACGAAATGCACAGTTATGACAGCATCTCTTCAAGAAATAAATTACCGTAGTCTTGTGTTTACATTTAACTCGCATTGTTGCAGGCAATAGCACAGTTAGGCTGGGCTAAACCAACACTGATACAGGAACGTGCAATTCCACTGGCTTTAGAAGGCAAGGACCTCTTGGCTCGAGCTAGGACAGGCTCAGGAAAGACAGCAGCATTTGCCATTCCTCTTATCCAAAGAATTCTTATCAGTAAACAGGTAAGCAATGTATTTTTCTCAATTAATTTTATAGAGAACTACCTGGTTGATTGATTTGAAAGTATTGGTACCTTGATAGAATTCTAATAACCACATACCGGTAATTTCTTGTTGTTGTTGGGGTGGGTGGCATGTGATATCCCACGAAAATCAAAATATAATTTATATTTTCTAGTCTAGATAGAAATTTCAGTTGTAGTGGTACCACTCACAAATGCCAGTTTCTGATAAGATATTTCAACGTAATATGTAGAAATCCCAAACTTGGGAACAAATTATTTTGTTTTCCTTGTTCCAACATTTTTTATCTGACATTTGAAAAAGATTATTTGAAATATATTTAGCACCATACTCCTACCAGTTTATTGACCTGTACATGCGCTCATTTCATATTATTCTCTCAATTTGCAGACAGCAACAGAACAAAGTATAAAAGCTCTTATATTGACACCATCCAAGGAATTGTCAAATCAAGCTAGTCACCATATACAGGTATGTTCATTGCATCGTAAAAACTCTAAAATTTCGACCGTTCTAGAAATTTTCCCGGCAATGTTTTTTTCGAGTTTCCTTAATTTTACGACCTCTTAAATTTCGGCCCTGCCCAGAAATGTCGGTTTTTGCAACTCTGAAAATTCGACCAAACTTTCATATCCCGGAGCTCTTGGTAATTCGTACCAACCCTGTCAAATTACGGGTTTCTATACTTCTGTACTCGTCAAGTGTGAGCGAGGTCAGGTTTGCTTCCGCTTAATTTGCATGAACTAAAATAACATTTAAGTCACACGTATTTATTGTTATCTCTATTGTTCAATAAAAAAACATCATTTGCTTTTGAAAAAAGGTTGATTCGAATAACAATCACAGTCTGTATTTGCTCTTAAAAAGGTCGATCCAGAATAAAACCAGACGCAACAGTTTTTGCCAGTTGTTGAGAAAAACAGCCCCCATTGCATGAATCCTATTCTGTGATTGCTTAGACGCTTGACTCGTGTCACTGTGGGGCCCCAGTGAGGTGTTTACAATAAACGTGTCTGTGTGACAAGTAGGCCGACAACAAAATAAAATAAGTCACAAATTTACAGACGTGGGCGACTGAAGAGTACAGTATGATTATTACTAGAACGAGTACAGAAATTTCTCGAACGTAAGCAGAATGTCCCCGCAGGGAGCTTTAATGAGCGGGGTGTCTGTTTCCCGGAGTTCATTTTACATTGGCCAAGATCCCATGCATTTTAAACACTCGGTATGGAATAAAACAAAAATTAAGCTAAAACTAAGCTCGCATGCTCCCAACTTTAACACTTATTTGACTTCCCGGTTTGTGTATTTTGAAGCGATGTAGGCCTATTCGCAGTTTATTTTCCCCCATGTAGACACCGCCAAAATCACAATTTCACCGCAGTGATTTCCCAAAAGACAGCGTCCGGTAATACCAGTCTCACACATTTGGAACGGAGTGGTACACATTCGCCCGGACCTCCGCTAATCTGCATATCCAATGCACGAGATGGCAGCACGGAAAATCTTTTTTAGTAACCGTGATGGGAGTGAGAATAGCCTCACACTCAACGAACAGGCTGTTTGTGGAGGGACTGTGGTTTGAGGGGTTCACAGACATCCAGTAATTACTTCTGCAATATATTTTGCTGCACAATAACACAACAATAAAAGTTTTATTTATTTATTTATTAACTCAATAACTGCAGATACTGTAATGACAGTGGCACTCTATCAATAACTGTAAGACTACTGTAAAATAGGACATTTACAAATTTCATTGATCGCCCAAAATGTAATCTTTTCTAAGGTCTATAACTTATTAGTAAATTTTATTTATACGCCGTTATGTTTTTTTTTCACTCTTGTGTAAATTAGGTCATGTAGGTCATGACCCCTTGCTGAACACTTACCGCACGTTATTTCAAACAAATTTGTCCGCACTGTCGTACACGCTTGTTTTTATTTCACTCTTGTCTAAATTAGGTCATGTAGGTCGTGACCTCTAGCTGAGCACGTACCGCGCGTTATTGCAAACAAATTTGTCCGTACTATTGTTGTTTATTCCACTTTTTAAGTAACCCAAAAAGCTTCCCATGTTATTCCAAAACGACCAATATTTCTTCAAAAATTTCGTCCACTTTAAAATTTT